ATTAAATACATTCTAGCGTGTCTCAGTCCTTTACCCACAAAAGCGGCTATACCTTTTTTCTTTCTATTCAAAACAGTAAGTGTGGCACCTTTTGAAATCTTTATTAAATGAGCAATTTTTTTATGTAATGTAAAGTTATAGCTCAGTAAATTTTTTTTTCACCCGAGATAGTCAAAGTTGGGGAAGAAAATATCAAAAAGTTAAAAATCCAGAAATAGTCCTAATTTTATGATGGTTCCTTAATATATTTTAACTACATTGCATTTGAGTATGGAGAGGCAACTATCTGGAAGATTTTACATAAAATTTACTAAGTATTGCCCGGTTTGTAGTTGCAGTTAAAGAAAACACATGAAAAGGCACGATTTTTGTGAAATTCGAAAAAATGTAAATATTTCAAAAACGGTGACACTTTTACCTGAAAATTTTTTGTTTATCAGGGAGCTCACCCCCACCTACCTTCCCCTAAAGTTTGGCACGTTTCTTCTGGGACACCCTGTATATGTTATGTTTATTTCTCTTGGCATGAATTATCTCCCTTTTTTTCATAGTATTCTCGTGCTACAACCTCGTTCTTCTTCTTCTTCTCATTTTCCCTTTTTTCCTTCTAAACTCCTTCTTCTACTTTCCTTTAAACTGCTTCTTCTTCTTTCTTTTAAGCTCCTTTTTCTTCTTCTTTCTTTTAAACTCCCTCTTCTTATTCCCTCTTTCTCTTATATTTTCTCTTCTTCTTCTCTCCCCTTAGGGTCTCCTTTTCATGGCAATCGCTCCCCTATTTGGCAATTGCCGAGTTATCACATTTCTGTCTATGACCGAAATTTACCTATTCTTCGCCTTGCGTCGAATTAGGCTCAGGTGCATGCCGGAGAAAGATTTTTGGTGACTCTGCCGCGTCGGCCTCTTCATCGCCGTAAAATGGCTTCAGCTCACTCAGATGTGCTGTTCTCCTCTTACCGTTGTGTACCTTGTCTAATTCGACGATTACTGGCGAAACGGAGTTCATCACTCGGTACGGCCCAGCATACTTCGGAGCAAGTTTTCCGTCGCCTTCGATAGGTGGTACTCCTTCACCAGCACTCGGTCACCTACCCCTGGTTGCCATTTCCTCCTGCGCAAGTTGTAATGACGCGCTTGCTCGGTCGACGCTGTCTGCTGATTTCGCCTTACCTTACAGTGTTCCATTGTCAGTTACTAGAATTTTCGGGACTCCAAATCTAGCGAGTACGCGTTCTCGAAACGCTTTGTTGAGGCCTTCAGCTGTCGCCCTCCGTAGAGGCACAATTTCAACCCATTTGGAAAACTTGTCGATAAAGACTAGTACGGTTGTGTTTCCATACTTTGATCGTGGCAATGGTCCCACAAAGTCTGCGCATACTGTGGCCCAAGGTTCTTCTGCGATCTGGGTTAGCATCTTTCCCGCAGCTTTCTGTTGGCTGGGCTTGTAAATCTGGCAGGTAGTACACTGTCGGACATACCTCTTTATGTCCCTGAACATTCCGGGCCAGTAGTAACGTGCCGTCGCTCTCGTTATCGTCTGGCGGATGCCCATGTGTCCTGCGCTTGGACTATCGTGAACTTCCTTCAGTACTCTCTCACGTAGTGGCGCTGCCACGCATAGCTTCCACGGTACTGTGTCTTCATCATCCATCTGGACTACGATGTGTCGATACAGTTCGTTGTTTACAATTATGTAGTCCGGGAACTTTTCTGGTGTCCTCTTCACCTCTGCCATTTTCTCGGCCAGCCACTTGCAGGCCGTTGCCTCTTTATCCTGCACTAATATGTTGAGCTGTACGTCTTGGGGTTGTCGTGACAGTGCATAGGCAACGACGTTCAACTTACCCTTGCGGTACTTTACATCGAATGTATGTTGCTGGAGTTCTAGTGCCCATCTTGCAATGCGTCCGGAGGGACTCTCGATCGCATTCAGCCATTTCAAGGACAGGTGGTCGGTGATAACCGTGAATGCGTAACTCTCCATGTACGGTCTCATTTTCCGTATAGCCCACACAATGGCAAGACACTCCTTTTCAGTCGCCGAGTACTTTTGCTCTGCCTTGTTCAGCCGTCAACTAGCGTAGGCTATGACTCGCTCTGCGCCATCTAACTCCTGTGTCAGTACTGCACCTAGTCCAAAATCGCTGGCATCGGTTTGTAGCGTGAAATGGTGGGAAAAATCTAGACAGGCTTATACCGGTGCTTCCGTTAGTGCGCTCGTTAATTTTTCAAAGGCCGTCTGCTGCTCATTGCCCCATTTCCATCGGCTTCCTTTCTTCAGTAATGACGTCAGAGGGTGTGCAATATGCGAGAAATCCGGAACAAATCGCCGATACCATGACGCCACGCCCAGAAAGCGCCATAACTCGCGTGTGTTTGTTGGCGGTGTCAATTCTTTAATCGCCGCAATCTTGTCAGGATCGGTGTGAATCCCTTCTTCGCTCACCACATGACCCAGGTACTTCAAACTCCTTTTGAAAAACTCACACTTCTCTGGGTTGATCTTGAGGTTCGCCTCTCGCAATCGTCGAAACACTTCTTTCAGGTGTCCCATGTGTTGGTCTAGCGTCGCACTCGTGATAATAATATCGTCCAGATAAGCAAACGCGTGCGGTTCCAATTCGGGTCCGATGACTTTGTCCAGTGCTCGTTGAAACGTCGCAGGCGCTGAATGTAGTCCGAACGGCATTACGCGCCACTGGAACAGGCCACGTCCTGGCACAGTGAACGCAGTATACTCCTTACTACTCTCTTCCATCGGGATTTGCCAGTACCCATTCTTCAAGTCCAAGCTGCTAATGAATTTAACGCTTCTCAGTCGATCCAAAATGTGTTGGATTCGTGGGAGTGGGTATGCATCCGATACCGAGCGCGCGTTAAGTTGCCGATAGTCCATGCAAAGCCTCCACTTTCCGTTTTTCTTCTTTACGAGCACGATTGGCGCGCTGTGTGGGCTGTGCGACGGCTCGATGCACTGCTTCTCTATCAACTCATCGATCTCCCTGTTTATTACCTCCTGCATTTTTGGGTTTTTGGGAAAGTAGCGCTATTTGATGGGTCAATCATCTCGCATTATAATCTTATGGGCGGCGATGTTAGTCGTCCCCGTTAACTTCTCGAATGCGAGCCCCTCATTCTTTAAGAAATTTTTGACTTCCGTCGTATCCTCGAGGGCTGTGGGTTGTTCATTTGCGGCCTTTTCGCCTTCCTCAGCTCTCTCTACTTCGCGCACTTCTAACATCGTGCTACATGCAGCCTTCGTTCGAATATCGTCCTCTGCCTTCAGCGTTAATGTCTGCCCCCCGCAGCTCACTGTTGTGTTGGCCTTAGCCAGGTAGTCAGTCCCAAGGACCATGTCATCGCCTCTACCGTTTCTGTGACCGATATTGGTCTGTCACCACTCTCTTGTTCACTCTTCGCGACCGCTCGATTCCCAGGGTGTTCGCTGCTCTAATGCTTATAAAACTTCTGGTTGCTCCCGTATCAACCGCCGCGATTACTGCTCTACCATCCACGGTTGCTCTGGCGATTACTCGCCCTTCCGCTTGCTTAAGAATTGGTGTTACATTGACTGAGGTTGCATTACTGGAGACCCCACTCTTCGTCGCGAATGGGGTCCTTGACCGTTTCCTTGTTGTCCGCGGCAACAGTCTGATGTTCGAATGTTCCGCCGACCGCACGTCCAACAGAATTGCTGGATATCGTTCCTACATTCGTAGGCGAAATGTCCGTCTTCGCCGCATCGTCTGCACGCCGTTCGTGGGTTTACTCGGCTGGATTCTTCGCTTTTACGTTGTTGTCCCGTAGGTGGCGCATAATCGCCTCCATCCCGCCGTCTCGCTGGCATCGTATACCTCTCTCTTCTCTGCTCCTCTCGGATAGTGTAGTTGCGCTCTTCGCTTCGTCTCGGGGTTATTGCGCGGGGCAATGCTCGTTGCGACTCCTTCTCTGCTACAATATTCTCGTAGTCTTCTGCCAGACTTACCAACTCTCCAAGAGTGTTGAACTCGGTTTGTTTAATATACAGCTGGTGTTCGCTTCGGCAATTCTTATAGATGCGCCGAAGCTTTTGTGCCTCCGTATAGTCGGAATGACGCATTAGCCCTTGTAACGCTAGTACATAGTCTTTAAATGCCTCTCTGGGCCGTTGAACACGCTGCCGTATCTCATCATCGAGTCTTTCGAAATACCGGGAATTCAAGAAGAACTTCAGGAAATCTCGCTTACACGTCTCCCAGTCTCTCCAGTGGCCGTGGTTGTTTCGTAACCAGACGAGGGCTCTATCCTTAAATAACTCGGGTAATGCTCGTGGAAGTGCGTCTCTTTCTATCTCGTACCCGTCGGCTAATTCTTCAACGCGTTCGATGAAACCCAACGGGTCCTTGCCGCCATCGTATTTGACGCCCCATTTGCGTACGCGGTCCATGATAATTGGGGCTGATCGCTGTGAGTCGACGTATACTGGATACATGGCACGTTCGGCGTTCCTCTTGTGCTGTCGTCGTTGATGGGTTGTTGTGTAGGCGGTAGTAGTAGCACTTCGGGTCTCTTCGGTGTTGGTGCATTCCCCGCGCTTGTAGACCTCGTATGCTTAAGCGCTAAATCAGTGGCCCGATCGCGATGGTTCTCAGTCTCCACTTCCTCTTGCACAAATGTAGAGAGGCGTTTACGCAGCTCCTCGACGGTCCCCGAATTGTCAAGGCCAAACTCCGTCATATAGGTCACAAGCTCCTCTTTATTTAAGTAGTACACCCACTTTGTATTCACCATTTTTTTTACTTTTTTATTGTTTTATTTTATTATTATTATTATTTTTTTGTTTATGTTCCTTTGTTTCACGTTCACAGTTCTTAATTTCTGGGCTTTACCCTGTGTCTCTATCACTTTAAAGGTGTCTCTGCACTTTTGCTTGGTAGTTTTCCAAATCACTTCACTTCACTTTTGTTATCTGTGAGTTCTCCTCCTTGGCCCTTACTGCTTCCTTTATTTATAAGGGCCTCACGTTGGGCGCCAATTGTAACGAACCCGGTTTATCCGGTCTATAGCTGGGCTGTGGCTCAGTCGGATGTTGGGTTCCCTTATCCAAACGTTAAAATAAATACGCCAATGATTCTTATAGTGACGTTTCTTTATTTCGCTATTTAATTGGCAGCGCTTGCACGTCACACCAATATATTGTATTTCCTTGGCGGCGTTTCCACGTCACACCATATAAGTACTACTTGGCAGCGTTTTCACGTCACACCAATATAACGTATTGCTTTGGCAACGTTTTCACGTCACACCATATACCTTAACTACCTACTAAGCAACTTAGTCTTCACCTTCGTTGCTTAGCCATTCCAATCTGCGTTTTCACGATCGACTGGAGTATACGACTACTCTACCAGAAGTGATTTCAAATTACATTTGATGCTCTATTTATACTGTCCAGCACGCAGGCAGACAGTTATCCTAACAACATTGTTGCTAATATTTTCTTTACTTCCTTTTACTTGTTGATACCTAAGTACGTATGTATGTACTTCAAATTTCAATATAAATATGAACATATGTATTTCAATCTCACGTATGTATATAATTAACAATTCATTTAATATGTATATTCACTTATAATAATTATCAAAATTCAACAATAAGTATATATATATGTATATAAAAATGAAATTCAAATTGTATAGGCTCTTAGTGATGGACTTGGGGTCTTCACAGCGTTGGCGTATGTATGTATGCCTGCAGATTGAAGGTTTGGGGAATAATCTTAGGCAGTACTTATCTCCAGTTCCCAATTTAGCACTACACTGTTACAGATTTGCGATCACCGGTATGTGACAATCCGGTAAAAACGGCACAATTCACAGAATTGTATAGTAACCACATACACTTTAAACACCGTTCCTTTTTTATTATAACAATAACTTTAACTTTAACTTTTACACTGTTACTTCACCCGGTTATAATAACGCTAGCACCCTAACTTTTGCATCTGAACCGTTCGCCACCACTTGGGCAATTTTATACCCTTTGGCCTGGCCAAATGACTCAATCGGCCAATGTACTTACATATGCACGATGAAAACTCAAAAGAAAAACCGCTTTCACGCACACACTCTCAACTTTAGTTTCACTGAGCACTTCGAACTTTCTCTGGGCGTTGCATTGGTTTGACTAACTATGTTCGATCAAATACTTATACACTCACACAGTCACAATCGGTTAACATCGAGGTTTGATCACACTACTTATGTTCCATCCAGTAGATGTCCGATTGCCTTATGTTTGGTCCACTCCATACCCACATACATACATTCACCTACAAAAGTATCTGGCAAGCTGGCATTTGTTTTTGGCAACGAAAATTCAGACCCCGATTATAAATGAGAAGAATTGTCTGAGATCAGTAGCTCTGAAACAGCTTGTGAGATTAAGTTAATGTTCGACAATATATTTTTACAAATAAAACAAACACATAAACTAGATCGAATTGTAATTTTTAATTTGGTTTCATGTATTTTTGGACATTTCTCTGCCATATTTATCAATTATTTAGAGGTTAGAATAGTGGTCAGAAAAATCACTAATTATCGCGATATTTTCCCAATAGTTTCATCGCTAAACTCACTTGTACAGCACCACGGTGCAGCGAACAAAGGTGGCGCCGTTAGTGGTACCGCTACTTTGGTTTTGCCAATTTTGACAGTTGTGGTAACTTGTAAATAAACCTTTGTTTACAAATCAGCGAAAGAGAAATTAGAATTATAAGTGAAAAATCAGTTTAAATTGTGTTAATTTGCAATTTGTGAGTGATTTTTGAGCTGAAGACTGCGTAAAAACTATTACAATGAAGTGATGTGTGTTAAATTGCGACAGCCGTCAAGATGCAAGAAGCGTAGAGGCTAGTGTAGCGCTGGAACGAATCGCTGCATTTTGTGTACATAGGGCACGGCAAGGCCGTTCTCGAAATGTTTCTTTATTATTACATTAACAGCATTTCCTCACAATGATTTTGCTTCTGCTCCAAGCAGCCTCCATTAGCAAGTTAACCAATCAATCCCGCTGAGATACTGCCGCAGTTTTCTGCAGCAGCCTTAATTGCAAAGCAATGGAGTGCACTAAAACGTTTGCTGAAGCAGCCTCAATTGCAAAGCAATAGAGTGCACTAAAATATTCACTGTTCTCTAATAGATTAGGTGAAAAATGCTATATTTTCGCATTTAGCAAAATTAAAACCCGTTTTTCGCTGTAAAGTGAACTGATTTGGCAGTTTCAACTCGTTCTTCTTTTCGCTCTATTCTTTGTTTACTTATGGTACACAAATGTCAACGCCCAGGACGGCGCAATCTTGTATTCTATCATTCTTGGTACAGCACCAACTAGATGATATGTGTGAGTAGGGACACGCTATCGAACCGAAAGTATCGATATAATACTCATTTAAAGTATCGCTGTAAAAATTAAAACTGTAGCAAGTATGTATTCGTTACTGAGTAACGAATACAACCCTGACTCGAAGTACCGAATCATTACTCACATCCCTGCCAGCCAAAAGTGGTGAAAAATCTGGTGAAACCGAGGGTTTCGGTCACTTCAAAACTGGTGACATTTGTATGGGCGGTGTGCAGACTGTCACCACTTTCCCCTGCACGTGTGAGCCTTGCATCACTGTCGCACTCATTCAGATACTTTGTAAGGAAAACATATAGCTGCAATCGTCTAGCATTGCCCCCTTCTGCCGGCTCAGGGTTGCATTCCCTTCACAGCGAATTCAAAATAACCTTGGAAACGTTAAATAAAAAATCCTAAAATTATTTGATTTTTATTTTGCAAAATTTATTTTCAAAATGCATAATATACATACTTAATAACCAATATTATGAATAAAACTTGTAATTAACATATAAATAATATATAAATAAATATATTTTTTCATACATACATATGCGCTGGCTTAATTTCTTATTATTAGTATTACTCATTTGCACATAGATGTTTAAAAAGTTGGAAAATTTCTATAAGAAAGTTAAGCGATTTTAATAATATTATAATCAAAAGAAAGGTAATCGATTTATCTTTCTTTTGATATATATTAAAAGTTGCAAATCATTTATACTGGTTCACAAAAATTTAGTTTCATTACAACTTTGCAAAATTTGATTCCGTTTTTTCGACTTATATATAGACGGTTTCAAAAGTTGCAAAATTTCTATAAAAAAGTTAAGCGATTTTAACAATATTATAATCAAAAGAAAGGTAATCGATTTAACTTTCTTTTGATATATATTAACAGTTGCAAATCGGTGACAGGTAATAAGATCAACGGAAATAAGGTCAATTGACTTTATTTCCCATCTTGGTGCGAAATAAAGCCAATTGACATTATTACTTTTTAAAAACGAAATAAAATCAATTGACATTATTTCTCTTTCAAACATTAAATTTGCTTAGCTTCGCGGCGGGCCGCGTCAGCGCGCCACACCGCGCGCGTCGCGCTCGCGCTCGCGCCCCGCGTACCCCGCGCGACCGGCGCGCACACCGCGTCACGCTACGCCGCGGGCCCCCCGGCCTCCCCGTCTCCCGACGTGCTGTAGCGCAGGTAGATTAATTTTTTGTATACGTTGAAATAAAATTTTTATATATTTTAAACATCGAGGGCTTATATTCAATAATACCCCCTATCTGCACACTTTTCACAAAGATGAGATTCTGATATAAAAATCCACCTAAGCTTTAACTGTCATCAGTGATATTAATGCTACCTTATATAACGACAGGTAATAAGTCCCAGATGGTTTCTAAAATCAGAAATTAGTTTTTGTGCAAATTGCAGATAGAGGGTATTAATGAATTCAAGCCCTCGATATTTCACATTTTTATATTTGTAAGTTATTGGAAGCAGGGATGCCAACTTGGCTCAAACCGTGCCATTTGTTCCTATTTTATTTCAAATGGCACTTAATTTTTCAATTTGGCACAAAATGCCAAAATGGCACTTTTGTAAAAAAAATAACATTTCAATACATTTTTGTGAAATCCTTTGCGTGCACTTCTTTTTCTCAACTAAAATTTTCTAATTTATAAAGGCTATTCAACTGGTTTATCTTATTTTATCATTGCACTTTTGTTTTGAAAATGAGGCTTTATTTTATTGCTAAATGTGAATGATTAAAAGGAATTACACCTTTTTTGGCACTTTTATTTTTCTATTTGGCACATTTTGGCACTTTTTTTATCCTCAATATGGCACCTCAAAACTAAGGAGAGTTGGCAGCCCTGATTGGAAGATTTCTGCTGTGTTTTGAGGCAACAACTTGTCTGCAGTAAAAAAGCATATAATTTGTGTTTCAAAAGTGTGTGAAAACCAATCCATTAACTTATATGATCTCGGTTCCGATATTAAATAATCAATAATTGTTTATACCCGCATTTTGGCACATTGGCTCGTTGAATGTGCCATCTAATAAATAGTGTCGTCGTTCTCCTTAGCTGCTTTTAAATGACTGCTGGCGGAGACATAAATACAGTGTAAGAAAATTCTTTTTCTAGAATTGTTTCCTTATAGAAAGGTTGGGTTCTTTTCCACCTTAGACATTCCGAATTCGTTCAAAATATGCTAATTTAAAACACAGAATTCTTTCAGTGCTCCTCCGGGGTTTTTGGACATGTACTGTTTCTTCAATTTAATAGTGTTCGCTTTATTTTTGTAGAAACGAAAAATG